GAGACCAATGAAAATAAGGAAAGGAGACACAGGGTCTGGCTGAAAGACATTATTTAATAAAACGATATAACTTGAGGAAAATGTGGGTTAAAACTGAAGTTGAATAGAAAAGATAGTCCTAAACGTAGTTTAAGGGTGGTGAATGTAATCAGAAATGTTAAGAACGGAGAGAAACAGGAAGGTGATTAGACAAAGAGAAACGACAACACTGGGCGACTAAGAAGCCTGGGAATTGAACTTGTGGAAGGATGTTTGACATTGACCAGGATAATGGCAAGGCGGGATTTTGAAAATTTGAGATACAATGGTAATAATATAATAAAAAGGAAGAGAAGCTGCGAACGCTGGGGCAACGTATTCGCCGCAGAACGAACACTGAGAACTCAGTGGCCAGCGGCGGGGCGCCACAAGTCGTGCGGGGCGGGGCAGCTCGAAGCGGAAAGTGGAACGGGAGGCGGAGGCGACTGGCGTCGACGGCCAGCGTGACGGGAAGTGGCGGACGAATCAGCGCGTCCGGAGTGGAGCGGAGCGCAGCGGCGGTGCGCGGGCGGCGGGATCGCCGAGGGCGGGGGGGGAAAACTCTCTTTCTGCAGGGAAATGAACACGTTGCCCGAATACGGATTCCTCTACAGTTTTAAGAGCGGGTGGTCACGACGCAAACACGCGCTCTAGAATGTCTAAGAATAGTTTGTAGTTAATTCTTGAATAAACAGAATCAAACTTTTAAAATTAAAATAAACTTTAAATATGAATTGTGATAGCGAGAAAAGAATTGGTAGTACTTTTAAGGACATATAGAACAAGTTGTTTAATGTATTTCAAAAATTGTCTGATTGTGCAAAATTGAACAGCACTCCGTAGAGTATCTTATTCGTCTTTCGTCGGTGTGCGCAAAGAACTAAAATTACGAGCAGAATAATTATAATCAACGTTTAGAGTTAATACTCAATTACTCCCAGAACACATAGCTTCCATCGTAATACGCGAAATATAAGATTTGTAACTGTTTTAATATTGGGTACAGAATGTTTATATGTGTAACTAGTACGTTATAACTCATTTGTAACAAATGTCATGAGAGATTAACACTATTATTCATGTGAAAACCTAAGTTTAAGATTAGACCGATACAATAGCTGAGAAAGAATAACCATTTGTGACTAAGTGCTAACGGTAGACACGTAAGTTGGAAACTCTGCTTAAATAATGTGATAAAGTCAAATTGTCAAACATAATTAAAATTTATCATAGGTGATGATGATACCTCCACACCGTATAAATGTAAGGTCAATTCATAATTTAGTTAATTGAACATGTTTTGTTGTCAAATATGAAACATATTCTTGAAGCTGATGTAATTAAAGTCAGAACCTTCATCTCTTCAGAGTGTTGAAAGCTTTCGATTTGGTTCTTGAGGATAGCCGGTCAGAGCAGTAACATTTGGACGTCTGCGAAGCCATCACTGAGGAGTACAGCGGTCTCTC